CTCTCTCTCTCTCTCTCTCTCTCTCTCTCTCTCTCTCTCTCTCTCTCTCTCTCTCTCATTCGTAAACGTGCATTCACATATGCATCGACAACAGCGTACGCGGTGCTAGTCAGGACTTCCGATGCGCTTTTCCGACTACGTGACGTCCGGACATCCGACATCTGCGACATACTGCCAACACGTTGCTGCTAAAACGGGCGCGACAGCTAACCACGGAATTATTATTGCGAGCACGAATCTAACGCCTACCAAATTCCGAAACTTTTGTGTTGAGCGTGCATAGGCATTATTAACCGATCTCCCTATAGTCATGGTTCACGGCGATTCGATATTGAACAAGATTATTCGCGCGATAGGAAAACATACTTTATCGAAGATGAACGGTTTACCCGGTTCGGCTACACTCATGAACATAACAGCGCACGCATCAATATATATTACAGCATATAATATTTCATTCATGTAATACAGCATAGTTTGTGGTTATATCCTAAACATGTTATAATATATAAGACGAAAATACCTAACTTGCAAACGAAGACAATAGATATTGTTTAAAAAGTTTATTTGAAAATGGAAAACGTCGAGACGCACTATTGATTTTTTAATTGATAAAAAACTAGATTATTTGCAAATTAAACTTCAAGAGGACGACAGTAAAACAGATAATATAATAAATTCTCTTCAGCTAATTTAATTTCAGTAAATTTAATTTGAAATAATCGCACAAAATTTTCGACATATTCACATACAGCGCAATTTAATATAATATTTCATAATGGCACGGGGTGGAAAATAAAAATATTTCAACTGCAAAAGACCAATCGATATATCGAGCTCAATGGTCGATTTGATTTCTAGCATCGTGCGGTATAATTTCGCGGCTTGCATCGGGCCAGATGAACGAAGTTATCGGATAGGTCGATTATATGGGGAGGTTGAGGTGGGAATGTCCCGATATTTACGGAAAGCTGGCAAAGTTTCCCTCGCAGTGGTAATATAGCGTCTGCGAAAATCGATATTCGATAATCACAAAATTCCAGAGAGGCTTGTGGCGTCGCCTTTTCTTGCGAATCTTGTCGCAAGATATTAAAAGGGCCAAAAAAGAACGGAGCTGCTAGCGAATTGAAGAGCTTGGCGTGGTTTAATGTAAAACGCACGGTATGATATGGGTTAGCAGTTATTAAATATAACCGAGTTCTTTTACATCCTTTTTTGATAACTTATCCTTTTATTCTCTATAGTTTATCGATTTTATTTGATATAAAATATCATGAAAAGTAAGAGAAAAAGAGAATAAGAAATAACTTTCTCTTTATTCTTAGTTATACACAACTTACTGTGACGATTAACAAGAAAAGAGAGAGTCTTACCTTTCACGATGTTCAATTCTGCGATATCATCCTTTATACATTCTTTAGGAAGATTATTATTCTAAATAATATTCTTAGAATATATACAAGCGATAAAGGTATTTTAATAATATATTTTATTAATTTTAACTTTTTCGTAGCTGCAAAAATTATTAAACTTTCCGTTAATTTAATATAGGAATATCTATGACATTTCGTATATATTTTGAAAATGTATTAACGTTGATGTTAATTTGATTAATTGTAATGAATAAGTATTATTTATTTTAATCAAATTACTATTTATTTATATATTGTTAATTTCCTTTTTATTAAATTTTATTAATACTCTCTAATTAAAAGTTATAATTTACATATCAAATATGCGCGTTTAGTTACGGAAGTGGTTTGCTAAAATAATATTTCTTTATAACAGAGTGGTACTTAAATTTAACGTTTATACATGATGGTACTTTACTCTGAAGAATTACATAAAATTTACATAAATATTTCTTCCTAAAATAAGCAAATATGTTTTTAAATAGGGATTCTTTAAAATATAACAAATATAGATTTCATGTTTTTTATTAAAACAAAGATAAATCTACATTTATACTTTATAATAACTCTAATGCAACGTCAGTTTATTCTTATAAAATATTTTATATTTTATATATTTTTACACTATTATTATTAATACTTAAAAAATTATAATATGATTATTACTTTTCCATTTTGATTGACGTTATTACTTTTCTGAATGTATGTGTATCGTTATTGTTAATTATTCATACACGCTTTCTTACATCTTTTTTACAAATTTTTTAATGTATCGACAAGCGAATAATAGATGTGTGTGCTTTGGGCTTATTTGAAATAAAAATTTTATTGAAGCTTGGTTTGCAGTTTCTATTTTCGTGTGAGTGCAAACATAAGCTGCGTTAGTATACATCTACCGAAATAATAAAGTCGTTCCTACGCGCGTTTTATCGTTCCTCTGCGCGTTATTTCTGTTTCGTCGCAAACGGAAGTACGCTTGGTTAAGATGTCTTACTTTGTTTTTCCATATTCGAACGAGTAAAAGCTGAATATATTATATTGGTTTCTCAAAAGAAGAATTTAATTAAATAGTGCTAATTGAGATCTATTTTTTTATAATTACTTTAGCAGTTAAAATAAAAATATTTAATTTTTTAATTGATTAGCGGATATACAAATACATTTATTTGATAACGCACGTGGCAATATATATATTTTCCGTTTATTTAATAAAAACAAATGAATTGATGTGATTAACTGACGCAATCAAGTGCAGATAACGTAATGGATCTTTTTATAAATAATATTTTTCCAATCTTTATTTTGGTCCTTAATATTGAAGATTAGATACTGTATATTGAATATTTCTAACG